AGATTACTAATGGTCTAATTCAGGAATTGCTTTTTGAATACCCCTACTACCACTTAATGCATCAAAAATATTTTGTTGAAAATTGAATCCTTTAATGACTTTTCATTGAAACTTACAAAATACTAGATTCTATAGTACTTATATGAATAGTTGTTCATTTGGGCGAGTAGTGTTCTACCTAGATTACTATTTGTTACTACTTGAATGACTCGTGATCTATTCGGCTGAGTAGTGTTCTACTTTGATAACTAAAAGCCTACTCTCTTGAATGAAGAATGGTCTTTTTTATGGTTAGTGTTCTATTTAGGTGACTAATGGTCTACTCACTTGAATGATAGTGGTCTATTCGGGTGAGCAGTGTTTTACTTTGATAACCAAAAGCCTACTCTCTTGAATGAAGAATGGTCTATTTTATGGTTAGTGTTCTATTTAGGTGACTAATGGTCTACTCACTTGAATGATAGTGGTCTATTCGGGTGAGCAGTGTTCTACTTTGATAACCAAAGGCCTACTCTCTTGAATGAAGAATGGTCTATTTTATGGTTAGTGTTCTATTTAGGTGACTAATGGTCTACTCACTTGAATGATAGTGGTCTATTCGGGTGAGCAGTGTTCTACTTTGATAACCAAAAGCCTACTCTCTTGAATGAATGGTGATCTATTTTGATGGGTGGTGTTTTATTTGAATGTCTAATGGTCTACTCACTTGAATTATTAGTGGCGTATTCGGGTAGCAGTGTTCTACTTAGATGAATAATATTTACTCTTTTGAATGAATCGTGATTTATTTGGGTTAATAGTGTTATACGAAGATATATAGTTATATACTAAGATAATGACTGAATAATTGGGATGATTAGTGGTCTATTTGGAAGAGTAGTGTTCTACAAAGATGACAAATGACTTAATCTATTGGATAATTAGTGGTCAATTTGAATGAGTAATGTTTTACTAAGATTACGGCTTTATCTCTTGAATAACTAGTGGTCTATTGGCTGAGTAGTTTTCTAATTAGATGACTAATGGCTTAATCTCTTAGATGACAAGAGATACATTTTTGGGAGTCGTGTTTTACTTGACCACTAATGGTCTACTCACTTGGATGTCTAGTGGTCTATTTGGCTGATTAGTGTTTTAGCAAGTTGACTAATGGCCTACTCATTTGGATGATCAGCTGTCTATTTGGGTGAGCAATGTTATACTTAGATCACCATTGCCCTACTCTCTTAAATGACTAGTGTCTATTTTGGTGAGTTATACTTAGGTGACTAAGGACCTACTATTTTGAATGAATAGTAGTCTATTTTGGCGAGTAGTGCTCTACTTAAATAACTGTGAATCAAATATTTTTATTATTATAAAATGACTTTCATGATTCAAAATATCTCAAAAGTTTAGAACAGCCTGTCGTTCTCTAGATCTTCTGGTAAAATGTCATTCCTATATAAGTTTAATTACCCTATTCGAATTTCTGATATGAGACCTCTATTCTCCAATAGACATATAGTTAAAAATATACTCGAGAAAAACCTTGGCATTGCGTGAGTTATTATTTTGATTGAAAATATGCATACTGGAAAACATAGTGAGTCTGAAAATGTACTTTGTGCTATATGGAATTTTTAAAATCTATTTCAATGAACTATATGAAAATAATTCTTATGTTATCTTACTAGGGGTTTGGTTTTTAGAGCAGAAATAGTATTTGAGCAAGTTTTAAAGTTTCTTATAGAAGCTCATATCCCTAAACTATATATATGTGTGTATATTCTTTATTATATATTATAAAACTCAGCGAGTATAATATATTTTTTTCTTTATTTAATTTATAGGAAAATATGAATGGTTGTATTTATATATATAACTAGCGGATGTACCCGGCTTCGCCCGGGTTTTACCCGAGTAAAGGTTTGTCTAACGAACATTTGTTAAAACAATTCTCTATAAACTTATTAAAAAAAAAAAAAGATATATTTTGATAATTTGAAACTCGTAAATTTGAATTTCTCGATAAAGTGATCATTTTTTTCCGGTCTCTGTGTGCCGTGTCATCCTGAATTTTGTCTTTCCTAATTTTCTACATTACAAAATCATCGTTTTATCTAGTGAACATTTTTTCCCGGTCCCTTGAAAAATACTCGATAAGTTGAATAAAATCATGGTCGTTTATGGAAGATGGACGAAGTTCCCGGAGGTCATCTTGGGCAAGCCCCCGCGAGGCTTTTTTATTGTCTACTTGGCACAGCTGTGTCACCAACTCTGCCCCCGCGCGCCAGAACCTTTTGACCCCTCTGCCCCTCCGATTGGTCGGTGGGTACTTGGACTGTCCATCCGGCCGGCGGCCGGAATATTACATTCTCTCGACAGGGGGTGGGGCACACTTCCTGCCTAAGCCTATCTCCGTCGCAAGGTGGCGCTGCTTGCGAGTTAAATCTACAAATCTGCAAATAACTCTAAAGATATTGAAGATATTCAAGAAATTATTTTTCAGAAACCTTCCCAGTACTATACTAAATAACTTCCCAAAGTTTCATGGCGTTCCAATGAGTGGTTTGGTCAGGCATAAAGGACACACACACACATACATTCATTTTTATATATATAGATTAAATATCCACTTCTCTCTCCCTCTAAACTTTCTTCTCTTTATTTCTTAAGTTTCATTGACCTATTGTCACTCTTGTTAAAGAAACTTTTCCTGTATTTTGTTTATCCTTTTCTCTTTATGAAGATACTGAGAAACGTATAGAAGTTATATAGTATCAAGAAAAATATATTATATAGAATTATATTTACTTGACAAAAGTCACAGTGGCTCTCTGAAATATTAATAATTAAGAAGGTTTAAAAAGGATATTTAAACTTATTTTTAATTTGTATATATTCACTCATAACTTACAAAATTAATTTGGTAATTTTATGTGTAATATT